CTCCAGGTGGATGCCCGCGCCTGGCGAATTCTCTTGGCGCTGCGATCGGAGGTCCGCTCGCGCGGACCGTGGCCCTGCCTGGGCCTCTGGGGACCTCTGGGGCCCCTCCCTCCAGGACGGCCCCCAGGAGACCTCTGGAGACGGCGGGGAGGAGGGGGACCAGGAGGCTGGCAAGCAGCACCGCCCAGCGAAAGTAAGCAGCACACTGCCGTCTCCAGAAGAAGCCCTCTGCCAGAGGCCCGCCAGAGGCCAAGCCCCTAACGGAGCCCCAAAGGAACCCACACTGCAAAGAATACCCGGTGCTCACGGCCAGATTCATGCTCCGCGTCGCGCCCATGAGGCGGGCATGCCCAGACTGACTTACTGACACGTCTGGTGGGCGGACGAGGAGGAGTCATTGAGGGGAGGGCCCAAACCTTCCTCGAGGGCTAAACAAAAATTGCACCAGGACCTCGACATCTAAAATCCAGTCGAGGTGTTAAGCAGTCCAGATGGGTCTGTAGGTCTGGAGGGCTACTTTTTAGTGCTCTGGAAGGTCAGGGGAAGAGGGGCGGACGAGACGCAAAATGGAGGATGGAGACGGAGAAGGCGATGGGGGGGAGTATGAGGAGGAGACGGAAGGAGGGAAACGCAGGAAATGGATGTGGCGGGAAAGGCAGGATGGAGGGACAGTGGGGGGAAAAATACGAGATTGGAGGGGAGAGGCAGGGGCAAGAGGAAGGTGTGTGGGGGGACGAACGAGAAGGAGGAAGAGGACGAGAGGAGAGCGGGAGGGGGGGGAGAGACACGGGAGAGAGGTGGGGGAGGTGTCGGAGGAGTGGCAAGGGGAAGTGGTTTACACGCCTCCTAGATGGGGTCCGAGTAGAAGGGGTCGGGGGATCGCGCCGCATCGCCGATGCACCTGCGACGTCGACGCTGCATCAGCGACGCCGTCGTGGAAAAAATCGGGCTCCACATCGAGCCGCATCGCCGATGCATCGGCGATGCGGCGCGAGCAGTCTACTCAGGCCACATCTAAGATGCCTAGAATGGGAGGAGGGAGATGGCGATGATTGTCAACTCCGCGGCTCCCGAGAAGTCCGAGGTGTCGCCCTCTGCGAGTCGGGCCTGGAAGAGCGCCGTCCCACCCGGCACGGCCAGGCTGTTGATGCTCACGATCAGGTTCTGTCTCCTGCGGGCCCTGCTGCTGCAGCAACGACTGCAACTACTGCTCCTCCTGCTGCCTGCTCCACGCCGCCCTCCTCCGTCCTCCTCCGCCCTCCTCCTCCGTCCTCCGCCCTCCATCCTCCTCTCTGGCCACCCCTCCGCGCTCCTCCACTCCGCCCCCTTCTCTCCCATCCCTTCCGCGGCCTCCCTGCCTCCTCTCCCTTAACGGGCGAAGAACGGTATAAAATAAACTTTTTCGCCGTCGGGGACACCTGCCCCAGGGCGGCTGGAAAGTTTATACCCTTACGGTGGCTCCGTAGGGGTATAAACTTTCCCGCCGCTCAGGGGCAGGTGTCCCCGACAGCGATAAAGTTTATCTTATACCGTTCTTCGCTCGCTGACTCCCCCTCCTCCCCTCCGCCCCCCGGGCCTCTCCCCCGTCCTCCTCCGCCCCTCCGCCTCCCCCCTCCCATACTATATACCCCGCTGCCGGAGCCTCTCGCCCGAGGCCTCCCCGCGGTGCTCGGCCCCGGGCCTCGCCCCTGCCCACGCGCCCGCACGGGTGCAGGGCGGGCCGTCCTCGAGCTGTGGCTCCCGCGCGGGTGCCGCGCACGGTCGTCTGGCAACCATCAGGTCGGGCCTGTCCGACGAATAATGCAAATTACACGACATGAACGATGTTCGACGTCAAGCAGGCCGACATCAAGCAGGCCGACGTCAATGCGAAGTCCGACATCAAGCAGGCCGATGTTCGAAGAAGCAATAAAAAATACAAATAGAAATGCTCCCACATGGTCCAGACATACTGGAGAGATCGTCCCCGGACTATGTCTTGACTCTTTCTTGAACATTCCTCCTGTAGAGGGGCAGGCCAGACTTGAGACAAACATCCAGCAGGCACACGGTCGAAGGTGACGTGGGGTTACCAGCATGCGGCTCTCACCTCAACGCCGCGCACATTCTCAGCAAACTCGTCCAGTGGAGGCATGCGCGGATGGCGACCTCTTCTCGCAATGGAGCTTTTGCTGAAGACTTTCTCAGACTTGGCGGCACTCCTCGAACTTGTTCCTCACACCTCTTGGCATCTCTTCTGGACTGCCAGGTGCAACACTCTTGTTGTTCACAGCGGGGCTCTCATCTGAGAGGGGCTCATGTGCCTCAGCTTCCAACGGGTCTTCGCGTCGTGGGAAGAAATTCTCGGAGAGACTTATGAGAGTGGACTTTGGGCGGAAAACTGTGCTGCACGCTGCTGCATCGTGGGATTACTCTGGCTCCCCTCCTTCCCCTCCCCCGCCCTGGGTTTCATCCTCCTTCTCCTCATCCCCTTCCCTCAACCTCTCTCTTTCTCCCCCTTCCTTCCCCGTCCTCTTTCTACATCCCTCCACCCTCCTCCCTCTCGTTCCTCTCTCCCCTCAATCCCCCTCCTCCTCATGCGCCCTTCTCCCTCCCTCTCGTCCCTCCTCCCTCCCACCCCCCCGACCCCTCCCCTCCCGTGCCGCCGATACTGATGCTGCCCCGAGGCTCCTCTGAGCTCTGGAGGCCTCCCGGTGAGACTGGCACAGATGGTGTCCGAAGACCGCGTCGCACTGCCAATACACCGACGATGTACCGGCGCGGTTGCAAGCAGGAGAGCCCAGAATTAGGCCGGGCCTGTTCCCCCCTACAGGGGGATTTTGGACGACAAATCAAAAATAGACAAAACATAATTCCGAACATGCTGAAGAATAGTCAAACTATGTTTGAATATTCCCCCTGTAGATGGACAGGCCCGACTTAAGCCCAAAATCGAATCGATAAGACGGATCGGCGACCGAAGCGAACCGGGTCGGCGGAAATTGGCGGCCGAGCCGAGAAAGCCGAATCGGCGGCGGTCGCAAGGCCAGAATGCCTCCAGTGAGAAAATCGGAGCCCAAATGGGAATCCCAAGCCGAATCGAAGCGGAATCGGAAGCCATCGAAATCGAACCGAATCGATTCGGAGGAATCGAAACGAGCCCGGCTTGCAAAGGAGAAGATTTTAAGCCCAGTCTGCGCGCCGCATCGCCAGCGAACCGGCGATGCGATGCGGCCCGGGGACCCCGTTCACTCCTCCCCCACCGAGGGGAGGCCCGGACCCTCCCTGTCCTCACATACAGAGAGGAGCCCAGGGACAAACGAATAAGTAAACACAAATCCAGGGATTCCCGATAACTTATCACATTTTCTGGGGCTTCGTCTTCCCCTCCACTTTCCAAATGTTCCCAGGTCTTCCTGGGAGTCGACGATAAATTGTGTCTGTGTGCTCTCCCCTCCTGAATCGAACCTGCTCGAAGACGAGTTCCCGGGCCCTCGCAGGACCCTCCGGATCTGTCTCCCGAGCCGAGGGAGCCTCGAGGCCTCCAGTCGCCCTCACCCACGGCACAGGAAGAGCCGAGACGAGCAAAGCATGTCCCGTACCCCGGGGCCATCCCCAGAGATCCGATGTCGTGATTTTTTCGATACGGGGTCCCCGGAAATCTCGACCCATTCCCCAGGACCGGTTTCTCATCCTGAGTCGTTTTTTGACGTTCCCGAACGGCGAGGGCCCCTTGGGACAGAACTTTGCGAAAAAGCTACGTCTTGACTTTTTCAATACGTTGGATCCCTCTGGGACCCCTGCTCCCGCCCTGGATCGCTTTCAGACGGTCCCCGGGCCCGGGGCGGGGCCCCAAGTCCCCGAAACGGAAAAGAGAGCCTGGTGACCCCCTGAGGGGGTCGCCAGGTTGTTTTCACTCTTAGGCGACCCCCTGAGGGGGTCGCCGGGCTTCTCTCCGCTTCAGGGCTCTGGCCTCGGTCCCAGGCGACCCCCCGAGGGGGTCGCCTGGCAGAGAGGATATGATTTCGCCATGCAGCAGAGGCTTAGCTGCATGGCGAAAGCGCATTCCTCGACCCTTCGCCGCGGCTCCTGTGGCACACGATCCTCGGGAGCGCGCACTGGAGCGTGCAGTTCTCGGGCACCACCAGCTGCGGGCAGAGCGTGGTGGCCACGCAGGCGCCCCTGCGGCGGCGAGGAGGGAGGAGGCGAACGAGGATAAGAGGAGGAGAAGGGGGATGAGGAGGAGGAGGAGGTGGAGGAGGGGGAGGAGGAAGAGGAGGATGAGGATGAGGAGGAGGGGGAGGGGGAGGAGGAGGAGGAGGGGGAGGAGGAGGAGGAGGAGGAGGAGAAGGGCTGTGCGCCCGAGGGGCGTCGGCGGAGTGTGGGGGGAGGCTGCCCTCCTCTCGAGGCTCGAGGCTCGAGGCTCGAAGTTCCTGGGCGCGTATGGTGGCGTCGCGCGGACACTGGCTGCTCAGCTGCTGCGTTCCTGCAATCGTCGTGGTACGATTCGGTCGGGCACGTTCTCCTATGGGCGGATTCTGGACGAAATATGAAAACTGGTACTTTTGAAAATTCCTCCAGTCGAGGGGCATGCCCGACACAAAAGCAACATCAGTAACAGGAAGCCGGGAGCCAGGGGACGTGTCTGACCACGACAGGCCTCGGCCGTGAAGAATGGGCTCCCCCAGACCTCGACCTGAGGAGCAGCCCGAGAGCTAGAACCCCTCATCATCAAAGCATCATCAGCATCATCATCATCATCATCATCATCATCATCATCATCATCATCATCATCGTCATCGTCATCGTCATCGTCATCGTCATCGTCATCGTCATCGTCAGTGTCATCATCATCATCATCATCATCATCATCATCATCCTCATCCTCATCCTCATCCTCATCCTCATCATCACCATCAAACACTCATCATCATCATCACCACCAGTATCAGCATCAGCATCAGCATCAGCATCATCATCATCATCATCAGCATCACCATCATCACAAACACCACCACCAT